TTTTTTCTTTTTAACTAATGTAGCTGGTGTATAATGGAAACATAAGAGCAAAGAAGAAATTAAATCCCACTCACAACAGCCACAATCATCCAGTGTTTAATAATTTCTGGCTCACTTTTTAAAGAAAAATGTGCTAGTTGTGCTTTTGTTTAAAATTTCTCACAGCGTAATTCAAGGAATAAAACAAAAAAAACTATTTTGCAAATGAATTCAAATTGCAACCCCGCCGAAAAAACACCACATCGGAGTTTCATGTGAAAAGATAGAACTCCTAAATGGCCTCACCAACATCACAGCAAAGAAAACGCACACAACACACTGTTTCTACACACATCAACAATGCTAGCAAATTACAACCCTTTACATAATTTGTTGAATGATAAATAGGCTCTTCTTTCATACGGCTTCTATAACCTTAGCAGATGGTAAAAGCTTCACAGTGACGTCGCCTTGTCCACCCACTCACACACCAATTACAAGAAAAGGCCTGCTACCAGGGAGCAGCTTAAGGTTTAGAGTCCTGCCCAAGGACTGGCACAATGTGAGTTTTCTTTAAAAAAATGTTTTTGTGACAGCAGCAGCCTTTATTCATCAGAATATGAACAAGACATGAAGCAAGTGGTTCAGGACTGAGAGCTGAACTGGGACAAATACACCGAGTACTGTAGCTTCACCTCTGAGCCTGAACATTAGGAGTTGAAAGCCATTAAATGCTTATTTTCTCTCTGTATTCCCTCTTAGCAATTTTATTCATCTGCATTTATGAAAATACAATGTTAAGTCCAAGGAGTTCTTTTTACCACACGTGTGAAACTCTGAGGGAGGCAGATAATGGATAAGTCTGCCAAACATCAAATGATGACCAGTGATGTTTCTTGCTGTTTCTGCTCATGATGAACTCTTGATCTTTAAAGATGGCTCTTACAACTGGGTCTGATCTTGTCCTGAATTTTCAAAAAATGTCTCTGGAACTGATAATTAATGCAAAACACTGCAGATATGGAGATGTTTTAGTAACCAGCAGAGTTCAGTGTTGACCTCTCTGTGGCTGGAAGTTCGGCATGGACACCTCAGCCGAAAATAAAAAAAAGAATGATTGAGATTTCCGTCACATATTAAGTGGCAAAGTAATTTTCTTTAGGAAGGTGTTGTGTTACATTTAGAAAGTGCTTGTGCCAGCTTGTGCCAATCAGGAAGCAATCCTCCGTGTCTCCGTCTTCACTTCCAACACTAGACCTGAGTGTTGGCTTTAAATGTGAATTTCTCACAGAGGTTGCGAGATTGTAATAGGGTGGAATATTCAAGCTGCCCTGGCTGCATGTTCTGATCCAGTGCTGAAGCATTTTTAAAATAACGCTCTTGTCATGCGCAGACTCTGTTACCTCATTTAGATCTGACCCAGCTCACGCAGGCTTGTGACTTTTTAAGCCTGATGTGACTTGAGGACGCTTCATTATTTTCAAGTCACAGTTAGCTTGCTAAACAGCTGCTTCTGGCACTTTATACTCAGCTCATTTCTGCCAAAACTGCCCTGCAAATGCACTTTAAAGGTTTTCTGATGTTTTTTTCCTAACCACTGTATCAAAATGAAAAGCAGAAATGTATCAAATTCTTTTCGAGCATGTAATCAAAAGAAATATGCTTGAAAGAATTGTTCACTTATTTAAAACTAGGTTCAGATAATAGAGTTAACTGCAACCAGGCAGAATTACTGCCTTTTTAAACACACCTGCATTTTGGAAAGCTCACTTGCTCAAGTGAGTATTACTCCATACTTATGCTATTCTAATTAAAATTTTTACTTTTGACTACTTGTCCTATGCATAGTTGTGCATGAAGCATTATCAGCAGGGATTGGCATTAAAAGACAGATGTACACAAACATGTAAAATGACATTGATAGCAAAGAGGTTTGCTCACTCAGTAATTTGTGATACCTCACTTTACCTGTTGATGCTCAGAAAAATCTGAGCAGAGATCCAAACCTTAGCTGGGAAAATCTTCCAAAAAGCGGCCATTAGAGGCTCTGACTGCAGCCTGCAGCTTGCAACAATCCTTGAAGAAAACACAGGAAACGCCTCAAAAACACAAAATATCACCAAGTATTTCTGATCTGGTTTCTAGCAAATATCTTATTAAACTTGAAATAAGACAAAACTAACATTTCAAAAGTAAGATTTCAGTAAGATAAAGGAGATTGTTTTGAGTCAATAACTCCTAAAAATTGGTTTTAAAAAAGTACTTGTTCCATTGGAAGATTATTTCACTTGAAACATTTTCCCCATGTTATAAGTGAAATAATCTTCCAATGGTACCAGTAGTTCTTCATTAATATTAAGAAATTATTGACTTAAAGCAATCTTCTATGTCTTGCTGAAAAATTACTTGAAAGTTAGTTTTGTCTTATTTCAAGTTTAATAAAAAATATTTGCACTATATCGCAGACCAGACATATTTAGTAAGATTTTATGCTTTATGCTTAACAAAGATGTTCTCATCAGTTGAGACCCAATTTTTGGGTGCTGCATGCAAAATGCTCTGTAAGGAGAACAAAAATAGCTCTATACATCAATAAGCCAAACATCCCCACAGTGAAACATGATGGTGGAAACACCGGGCATTGCTATTTCAGTGCCAGGTATCGTTGTCTATTGAAGAGCTACTATTAAGTGTATGAAATAATGAGAGTTTCAGCTTTGCTTCAAATCGACAGCTAGAAGCCTGGACACATCATTCCAGGTAGCATCACTCTGTGAGGTAGTTTTTTCCCCCTGGGGTACATTGCATACGGTGGACAGAATAATGAAGGGAATTCTGCATCTTTAGTAAACAGCTAGACATCTGGACACAAACAGAACAAACTGGTTTTGAACTGGATGCACAGGTTGTGGTTTTTGCCGTCCCAAAGGCCCAACAAAATCTCTATTGACAATTTGTGAACTTAAACGACAGTTTAGCAGATTTCCACTATTTTTTTAAATTTTTTATTTTGTTTTACATAATATACTTTTCATGCTGGTGTTTGATCAAAGTGACGTCTAATCACTCTGCAAGTTGACTGGAGGCTAATTTATAATCTTGTCTCAAACTGTGTGCTTCTAGACCTCCTGCTCTCCACTTCAATCAGCTCCTCTCTCTCTTCACTGAACACACACAGTCTCTGGATTCACTGTCACTTTTGTAAAAAAGTCAGTGGCTCAAACAAGAGTTTGTTCCAAAACTTTTTTTTTTTTTTTTTTGATAACTACACCCTTCTTGTCTGTGCTTGCTTCTGTTACGAGGCAGCAAGGGAAGGTTTTGTGTAGCTGTGACATTTAATTTACTGCTACAGAAAACATCTCTGCAGGTGCAGCTTTGATTTCTTCCCAGCAGTAATTTGTGGAGGGGTTGGAAAAAGGCTTTGTAGGTTTAATGTATCTATTTCTTGTAGATAATGAGGAAATGGTAATGGCAAGCTGGGCCAAAACAGGGACTTATCTCTCTAACACCAGCATGCAGTTAAACAGCCTTAAAAGGCAGAAACGAAGGTTGAAATTTTTTATATTTTGTCTTATTAAGTTTCCAAAAGTTTGATGGATTTTATCGGGGTATTATTTGACAGATCAACAAAAAGTAGTGCATACCAATGAAGTGGGAGGAAAATGATGCATTCCTCATTTTTTAAATAGGGAATTATTTATGTTCAGCCCACTTGATTCAATACTTTGTAAAATCACCTTTCACTGCGTAGTTGCCTGTCATAACCCTTAGGTCTTTGAGTTTGTTAGTCTGTGTTTTTAGTTTTATTTACTATTTTAGTGTTTAATAATGCTTACCATGTTTGTTAGTTTATTGATTTTGACTTTTTCTTGTGTCACTTTGACTCTTTCCTGTTTTGCTCCTCCCACGAACATTCAGATAATTACGCACATGGGTTCCTCACTCCCACAATCGATCTTTCTCAGTACTTAAGTTTTCATTGTCACTTTGCTGAAGTCTTCTGCATAGTTTAAGAGCTCTCCTGTTGTTTCCTCTGCTTGTTTTTAAGGTGCTATTTATTAATTAAATAAATCAGTGTTTTTTTTTTGTTTTTTTTTTTATCTCCCGCCTGCTTTTGGGTCCAATTACATCACTAATTGTGCCATGACTATCTTCACACATCCAGAGACATTTGTGACTATTCTTTAATGCCAAACTGCTCATGCTCTGTCAGACTAAGTGTGGAGTATCTGAGAAGATTATTTTCCAGTCTTAGTTCTGATTCTCAGTTGAATTTCCTGGTATTTATTTATTTTTTGTTGTGCCACACTTTTCATTTTCAGAAGATGGCCTGAACAGTGCTAAGTAGGACCAACAAAGCTTGATATAGTATTTATTTTATTATAACCCTGCTTTAAGCTTCTTCATAATTATATATCTGACCCTTCTGTAAATTTATAAGGCTGTTTGTTCTCTGATGTTCTCAAACCTCAGAGACTATTACATTTATCTAATATTATTAGTAAACTATTCTACACTTAAATTAACACAATTGGACTGTTGATTATGAATCTCATTGGATTTATTAATGGTATTAGAGGCTAAATAAGCACGCACTTCCAGCATTTCAGATTTTACTGCTTAAAATTTGCAACAGTTTATTTATCTACCACAAAAAAATCCATTGAGTGTGATTGCAATATGGCAAAATGTGGAAAGGTTCAAAGCGCATAAATACTTTTTCAAGTCTCTACTTATTTCAACTATGAGATCAAGGAACCCTGGAAACACCATCATTTATTTTTAAGCTACCTACTCACCCTGATATGTGAAATGTTACCAAAGGATGTTTGTGTCAGATGTGCAAAAATAGCTGTTCATTTCAAAGGTACCAGCAGAGCTCATAGCATTCATGGTGTGCATAGAAGAAATGACATTTGGAATTAATTGAAAACCTTATTTTGGTTTTAACTAAATATTTATCATGTTAGAAATATGGAAACACAAACGAAGATGCATTTTTGTGTTTATTTCCTGTTCAGATGCAAAAGCAAGACTCTGCAGTTATAATGGTCTCCACAGGACCTGGACCCGAAATAAAGAAGAGGAGGATTCAGTGGACAGCAACAAAACAAGCCACAGGACTGGAAGCTGATTTTGTTTGGGGACATTGGTATGCATGAAAAATGGACAATAGCAGAAATTATTGTTCTATTTTTGACATCAAAATTAAACTCCTTTGACATTTTTTCCTGGTTCCGGCCTGCTCCCTAGTCATACGTGTCCTTCACATCTAAAATATGAAAGAACAGCCCAAAAATAGGCGCGACAGGAGCCCTTTGAGTTAAATGGACTTTAGACATGAAGAATGATGTGAACTGATTGGGACGAAGAGCATGAGACAGTATGTCACACAAAGTAAAACAAAGAAGTCTCTTAGGCTTAACATAAAGCGCATTTTATTGATTAGGCTCTTTTTTCACAAGATGACACAATTTTCCAAGGCTTGGGTGAAATTTGATGAAAATGGTTGGATAAAAAAAAATTACAGCACCATAACCATAGAGACTTTTTTAATGCTACTTTCTTCACAACTGATGTTACTGGGTGCCATTTGGCTTTATTCGTCTGCCATGTCTTGCATATCACATAATATGTTTTGTAAGTTTTTCTCAATAATTACCAATAAATCTTTAATCTGTGTCACAACATGCATGTTGTATTTTTTAGTGAGTAATCTATACCCAAAGTTTGGCTGATTATTTTTTACAGTAAACAATGTAATAAACAATACAGATTTTGTTTTTTTGGGGGGTATTAGGTTTTGTTCCCTTCAAGTATTAAAAAAAAAAAAAAAACAGCAAGTGCCCATGTTTGGCAGGTTATATGGTCATAATAATCACAACCTATGTCTGTTGAGTCTATGATGCCACAACTTTAACTTAGTCATAATTTAATGTAGACATTCAGTTTAAACTCAACCGTGTCAAACTTCTTCCCCTCCTGGCCTGTGGTGGCGCAGCATCTAGGACTACCAAAAGAAACACAAACACCACTGAAGAAGACACAGAGAGCATCTTTATTATTCACAAAACGTAAAAAAATAGGGTGGCATCAGATTTAAGTGGTTGTAGAATTTCTCTTTTGTCTTTGGTAAAAGACCACAAACTATTTGCTCGTTTGTTTTGGTTGTATTTACCCAGAATGCCCTGCGCTGTAGTCCACCAGAGTTTCCAGGTCCTAGATCCAGTTCTTAACAGGTTCTGTGAAAGAACTGGTTTGGTTTCCAGCTGCCTGAAAGGCAAGTTGGAGTCACGTCATTATAAATATCCCATCTAGTTGGTGTTTGGTCCTCCACCTGTTTGCTGTAATTTGTTTAGGACTGAAGGATTGAAGTACATAGAGGCAATTTATCCACAATAATATTATTCATCCCAGGTTCCCTGCAAACAAACGCCCTAATATATCCACCGTAATGTATTACCAATATGTTTAACAACCAAATGTGCTTGTATTAGAGCTAGATTTATTAACTCCAGGTGGTGATATTAAAAGACCATCAGTGATAAAGAATATAGTCGGAAATAACCTTTTACTCATTCAGAGGAAAAACGGTCCTGTAAGCAACGTTCACTTAAAGTCAGTGATAGGGACTTCAAAATAAGCAGGAAGAAGACAGTCAGGATTATTCAACATTTTTTCTTGCTGAACTGATTTTTACTGTCAGGTTTTATCATTTTAAAACACAAAGTTTTTGTTGTATTCAGGATGATGATCACAGTGTTTTGATTGGCTGCTGTTCTCTACAAATCTCAGACCCTCACTTTTGAAGAACTGTAACAACCATTAAATGTCAGCCACTTGTCAGGGAACTTGGCCAAGAAAAAGCCTTTGTATAATTTATCTTCACAAATATCTAAGTGCTACTGAGACTTTATCTGTTGCTGCATATTTTAAATTTTTTATGCATTTTAATACATACCAATGAGCCCCTCTTAGCTACTGTCTTCAAATTCATCACGGACTCTGCCAGCATACAGAAAAACGGGCACTTTACAGATGTTTTTCTGCAGGATAATAATCCAAAGACATGATTCTGATTCATCCTAAGGGGAAATCATGTCAGGAGCGATGCCGGTGCGTTTCGTAAATTAATATGCATCAGCTGGCACCTTCAACCCACATTAGACGCACCAATCTGAAGCATGCACAGACACTGCAGATTACTGGACCCCAGCCTTGGATAGTTTAATTAGATATGCTTAGATTAGATGCAAATGCAACAGGCAGGAAAAGGAACGCTAGCAGCGTCAACAGTTGGTTGTTTGACAAAAAAGTGATAGGGGGGTGTTTTTTGATGAGAAACTGACTCCACTGGCCACAGAAAACCTGCAGTCTGATCTGAAGAAAAAGGAACCCAAGATGAGACATAAACATTGGATGATCTTGACCAGACTTGTTCAAACATTTTGCCCCTTAGGCCAAAATCTTCAACCCAACAAAAGATTATATTTCAAAACTGAAATCACCAAAAATGTTGTAATTTTCTGTTAACCTACTCAACAATAAACTAAGCATGAACTAATCTAGTTAAAAAACATAAAGAAATCCAATTTTAGATTGTAGTTCCATCTTCAAAAATGTTTTTTTCACTCTTTTCTTATTAAATAAAAACCAATTGAAGAAACTGAAAAAAAATATTTCTTCTATTCTCAGCAACAAAAACAGAATGGTCTCACTTTCATCACCTTTGATCTAAACAGACGGTAAAATTTTAAAGAAGACGATGACGTCATACTACTGAAACAAATATGATCATTTTAAGGGTTTCCCACATTTTAACTTCTGGTACTAGATATGAGCTCTTGATTTCACTTTAAAACACATGCTTACTTATAGTTTTATATGCCATTGCATAACATTTTTAACTGTTCAACAATCTAGAGACTTTTCTCTTGCAAATCCAAACTTGTCATTCAAGTTTACTAAACTTCTGATGCCCAGCTCTGTGTGTGCAAACACAGAGAAAAAACATGTTCTCATAGAGACCAATTCTGTATTTCAGAGAGCCATCATTAATGTTGACAGAGAAAGTAAAGTTTAGAAGAGAAATGTGGCATGAGAAGAGTAATTTAATCGCCAGGCAGGAGCAAAGCTGTTGGAAATGGTGTGCTCCACATGTATATAAACTGAAAGACTATATTTAATACCATATTCAGCTCAAAGTCTAATAAATGAGCAATTCGGGGCAAGATAGGAATCAGTGCTCCAAAGAAAACTGCAGAAAATGTTCTTTTTTTCATCTTGCAGACCTTTCATCTTTTTTTATTTTTTTTTTTTAGAGTAGAGCAGCGCATGAATATGCAGAAATCTGTAGGCGAGGGGACATGAAATTGGCACTGCGTGTTTCATCAATGATTAAGAACAAATTACTTTTAAAAAGATCATTGTTGGATCTTTTTAAAAGAAAAGTCCAACAATGAAAAGTCAAAGCAAAGTAGTTGGATGCTTCAAAACCTGACAGCAAATGTTTGTTTCTAGCTATAAAGAAATACACTGTCTGCACAAGAAGTCCTAATTTTAAGAGGTTTTAGATTTCAAAGGTTATTTTTAAGATCTTAATGTATAATATTAATTTAGACCCAGGAAAAGGTACTGAGAAAAACTGAAGATTTTTGATCACTTCTGATTTCTTAGTGTTTTAAAACTCTTGCCATATTCATTTAATTTCTCTGTGTTTATTATTGTTGGAAAGGTGTTGCTATTTTTTTCATTTGTTTATATTTTGTTTCTTCTTTTCCTTATGCATTTGGATCTATTTAGTCTCTTCCGTGTTGCTTTGTAGTTTTTGTGTCTAGTTCAGCTTCCTCTGTTCTCCTGCTCAGCACTTTCCTCTCCTAGCTGTTCCACATTCCCCTGATTAACTCACCTTCATTTAACGTCATTCTCCACCCTTTCCTTTATAAATAAGATCTTTCTTTTTCACTGTTTGCCTCTGCTACTCTGTGCATCATTTCCTGTTTTTATCATTCACCCTTCACTCATGCCAAGTCGCTGTCAGTACTTTCTCCCTGCTTCAACCACACATTACATGACAAAAACAAAACGGTATGTCATTTTCCTTTAGCAGACCAGAGAAAAATTGACCGGTTGCCTGCAAGGTCAGACTATAATCACAGCCTTTACACCTTGTTTGTATTAGAAAGAGAACACTGGTGCAGGATTTCTCCCCATTTTCAGTCAAAATACAGATTTATTCCTGATTATTTTCACTTTCTATCTCTCTGTGTTCCTCCTCTCCTTTGTTAAGCTGCAGACATAATGCTGTAAAGTGGTTTATTTAACTGACAAACCATTCCAGGGTAATGTTGGCCCTCAGATCCCAATTTGACAGCTGCGTGCCATCAGTGATCACAATCTGAACAGAACGCGGTTCACAGCGTGATGTTCCGCCGTTAACTCATTAATGAATCACCATGCAGACTCTGCCCACATGCGCACTGAGTGCTCAGTCCCAAGTTGAGATTTTAAAGACTGTTTAAAATCCTTTTTTTAAAGACTAGCTGAACAAGAATGCTTTTTCTACCGCTGGCACCGCATGACAATGAGTGTAAAGAGATGCATCCTCGTTAAATTAGGACTTGTTCACAGCAGAAACAGAGTACCATGGTGATGGGAAAAGGAAGGGTATCATAAATGTTTTAGTAGCAGTAAATAGGGCTTTACATAGGACTGTAATCCTGCTGCACTGTCAGCACCACGGACAGATCCTTCAGCTTCGAGGCTCCTTAAAATGCAGCAGAAAGGGTGACACTGGAATAAACATTGTGATGAGTCACTTCATGCCACTTCAGAGGGTCTGTATGTGGCAAACTTATTTCATGAGTGGATTTCTTAATTTTTTTATGCCAGTTGTTTGGTGTAATAATAAGAATGTAATTTGAGACAGCATTAACAGTGGTTTGAGGTTCATGTGTGGGATTTTATATACAATATATGCAAAGACAGCTTGTCCTGCATAGTAATTTGCAGTATAGCAAAAGTTAGCATATTCTCCCCATAGGTATGAATGTTCTATTACTTTGGGGCTTTTAATTGTGTGAACCATGTAAGATCTGTTGGACTTCAACCCTTCCTTCCATTTTTGTGCAATTTCAAGCATTCCATTTTTCAGCTATTCTGCTACCTCTATAAAACATTGGTGTACAAGCTAACATCATCTTAAACTCTAAGGTTAGCTAAAATGCTGTCATTAGCTTGTGGGCTATCATTATGCTAACTAAAATTGGCTCTCTCCATTCAGTATGCTAAACGTAGCTATTATTTCAAAAATGCTAATTAGCATTTTAGCTATGAGGTTAACGCTAGCGTGGGGGCTATCACTAGCATGTTGACCCTATCAGTAGCATGTGGGTTATCACCAGCACATTTACTCACATTGACTCCATTTAGTATTTAAATGTTATCTTTTCTATAAACATTTGCTAAAATGCTAATTGTAGCTTAAACGTCAGTCTGCTACCGTAGTAGCATGTTGGCCTACTAGCATAATGATGCTACCTCAGGATATGTCAGCTATGTCCTTGCTGCAGTCACCTGTTATACCACAAATCCCTCCAGTGAATTTGGAACAGCTTTTATTGCTTCAACAACCTGGTGGTAGAAGAAACATATGGGGGAAAATCTCAAATGATTTAGTGTTTTAATATCTTTCTCTGTTTCACAAAAATCACTACTGGGAAATTATGATTTTTGGCCTTGAATTCTGCTTTTTGAACACCTTTTTGCAAACAAATGTCTTAAAAATCCCACACCATTCACACTACACCGATAATTTATACAGCAAAATGTAGGTTTTCTTGTTTATGTTCGACTAGTGCATATGTTTCCCCCAGTAAAATCCTCTCAAACCACACAAAAGCCACATCCGGATGGCCGTTGGGATGCAGTAGAATGTATTTGTTTCATAAGCTTTGTTCTGCTGTAGAGAAATGGCCACACCAATAAGACGGACTGAAAATAAAAAGCTGATTGTTGTGGCATTGACTATCTTTTTGTCTGAGAGACAAACAGCAGTGCTCTTACTGGAAGCATTTCCAACAGAAAATCATTTGTGTTTTGCTTCTTAACCAGGTGGAGAAAACTTGAGAAGTAATGAAATTCGGCCATGCAGGTGAGGGCTTGATTATAATGGTAAGAGCAAAGCATTTCACAGACTGAGGAGAAACTTTTACTCTACCCACAGTCTGAATGCAATTTGTGCAACTCTCTTATATGCAAATAATTTGCTGAGAATGTTTCGAATATCAGCAGACACAAACAACTAAAACAAGTCCTTGCAGAAACATTGTTGTTTCTCATGCCTTGGAAAATAGCTGATCCCAGTGTCTGTCATGATTACCTACGCTACTACAGGAAAGCTTAGTCAACCTAAAAAAAGTAAAATGTATTATTAAAGAAAGACTAAAGTATGAGTTTCATCTTTAATGAAAAGGGAGCCACATGTGTGTTGAAAACACAAGCTGATTGCCTTACTACTAGTACACATGTAATGATCTTAAAATGTTAACAGTATTATCTAAATTGGTTTGGCCTATTGGAATAGAACAAAATGGCATCATTTGTTGCCTAAATCAAACGATAAAAGAATTAATCTGTAATTAATGTCTGTGTCAAGTGGCAGCAGGTGTTTGTTGGTATTTAATTGGAGCCTTTATCCTCAGGTGATAACAACTGCACAGAGTGAACAAGCTATTTTCAGATACAGTGCTTCCCTATTCTGGACCACTGTTTTTCTGTTCAAAACAAACTTTTAGAACAATTGTTGGATATTTTTGTCAGTTCTGAAGGCTACTAGTGTCATGAAAAGTGTGCAAGTCAGCAGCTGCAGTTGTATTTTACTCCATTGTGTGCTGATTTGACAGTACAGTGCATGATTCGACCCTGAAAAAAAATAATTAAGGCATTCATGGCTAGATTAAAATAATCCAAATGATTTATGATTAATTGGAAAATTGCTTTGCATGAACTGCTTAACTTCTAATGCGTTTTAGGTGAATTTATGCAGAGTAACATTTTGTCACTTCAGCTAATATTGTTGGATCCAATTAATGCCTTGATGGGGGTTTAGATTTGGGATGAAGTATAATCATGACTACTTTCTGCACCTCTTGATAACCTAGCTGTGTGCATCTGTCAAGTTTCTGGTTGTCCTGCAGTCACCTGGTGTACCACAAACAGAAAACAGATTTCTTCAAAAGGAACAGCTGTAAGAACATTGTGCACAAGAGGATGTGCGTAGAAGCAACTGGGAAACGAAAAGAGTTTACCACTTTCTTAACCGCTGAACATAAAAAAATACGAGTAGATGAAAAGTGTCAGAGAAAACTAAACAGAGACCTGCCAGTGAATCTGGAGGCTTTGGCTTGCCAAAAAATATCTGGGAATAAATGTGGTGAACTTCTTCTCGGGATTTTAGAATACAAACTGAAGACAACATTTGTGGTGTAAAGTTAGAAAAAAGCTAAACGAGACAGCTTGAATGAAAGAACGTCTTGCAGTCAGCTGTAAGCTTCTCTTTATTCATGCAGGCTACAAATCTGGTGGATTCCAAAATTCCCATTTGCATTTGGAAGCTGTTGCTGTAGAACCCAAGCTTGATTTGCAAGAGAAACAGCTGCTACAAAGAACATCCATCTGAAACATTAAGAGTGGCCAAATTAACACCCACACTCTAATAATGAAGTCTGATAGCAGAACAGAGAAAACAGATTTTTTCCTATTGAAAAGGATAAAGGTGGAGACAAAAAAAAAATCAAACCACAACATTTGATCTGGAACAGTCGTCTAAGGAGTGAAACCAGGACAAGATTGTGGTAGAATGTGGAAGAAGTTATAATGAAGGCTTAACACAGCTCATGATCTAAAGTGTCAGAAACACACGAGGCAGTGATGGAAAGGACACTCATTACGTCCAGTGGCACCGGGTCACAGGCGTTTATAGACTGAAGCAGCTGGATAACTCCCGAGGCGGACAGGGATTCACTTTCTGCTTAGATTCAGCCACAGAGATTGGGCAGTGCTTCACAGTATCATGAAAAGTGCTCCGAAACGTGGACCCAAAGCCGTCCAGCTGCATTTAGCGATAAACACGCAGGATTTTCTACAATGACCACAGCAAACTCAAGATCTCAGCTACAAATTCACTAAAAACAGAGTAGGAGACAAAACCTTTTTTGTACATCTAATAATCACTCAAGTCTACAAAATGGTTTCATTGTAAAGTACCCACATTTTGAAGTGATAAAGTATATTATTTTTGCATTCAGTTTTAAAATTCATTGAATGATATAAGTCATCATTAACTTCCTGCTGATGGCTTCAAGCTGTGGTTATCAACTGGGACAAGAAAGGTCGTCACAGTTAATGGATGTATGGAAGGAGTTAAATAGAAGGTAATCCTGGAAGAAAAAGTCAGAGGCAGGAGTGAAGGTTCATCATCCAGAAGGAAAATGACTCTAAACATCTTCTAAATCTCCAGTAAAATGGTTTAGATAAGAAATGCAAACAATTAACTGATTTTGATTCATGGTTTGCAGGATTAAAATGAGTTCCAGTGATTAACTAATAACTTAGACCTTCTTTTAGTGTTGTAGTTTTGCTGCCATCCAATAGAGGGCACAGCTGGTCATCTTGAATCAAGCCAGTTGATACAGGAATAAAGATGGCAGGGCCATGTCAGAATGGAAAGGGGAAATGGCCCAAAAAGAGTTCGATGTGAGACTCTAGTTTGAAATAGAAATACTCGACAAGCTCCATAAGTGTCACGGCTTGACTGAAATTGAAATTGTTAAAATATATTAATATGCTTCTTTTTTTAAAATTTAACTCTTTATATTATGGAAAGACGGTCAAATCTCTAGTCAAGCAAAAACTTAGATTTTTAGGAGAGTAGCCGCTTATCAATTAATCAATAAGCTCAATCAACTTTAAATACATCATTAACTCATTAATTGATAACTTGTATCTCTAGCTTAGATGAAAGTATAGTCATGTGTTAGGATGGCCTAGTCAAAGTCAAAGTTCAAACCTGAATCTAATTGAGGATGAGTTGTGAATCAGTTTTACTGAATTTGAGCTACCTTGGAAAGAAGACTGGGAAATATAATTTCAGTTTCGGATGGGCAAAGCTGGTGGACATAAAGTATTTACTCAGGGTGGTTGTATGTAAATACATCACTTCATAAAATCATGAGGTTTGTGGACGTAATGTGATAAAATGTGAAAAATTTGGTATCTGTGCAATATATTATACATACCATGAAGGCAAACGAGGGTTTGCATAAATAATTTATCCCTGTTGCTGCTCTTGGAATAGTTTTGGATGGGACTGAAAAACAGCTTACAAGTTGAAGAGATATTACCGAGGTCTAAATTCAGTTTTCCTTTGGGGGCATCAGAGATGCGCGCTTCCTTATTGAGGTAAAACCGATGGCGAGAGAGGAGCCTCCACCACACATCACATGGTGACTTGCAGGAGCAGCAGTCAGGTTGGATGCAGTGGGTGCTCCGTGGGGAAAATGCCCACCACATCATGAAGTGATTCATGACACATGAAAATGTGCTGCCACCTGAAAGTGGAGCTCATTTTTTCCAGCTCCAGCTCTGCATGAGGCTCACTGGTCGCCACATCAGCGGGTTAACGGGGACCTCCGGAGCCAGCCCGCGTCCAGCGGGGTCTCTTCCTCTGCAGAGGCAGCAGGCACAGGGTCCTGGACGCTCTGCAGGAGCGGGGGGGTTATTTCTGGGAGTCCTTCTGCGTGTGCCAGGAGCAAAGTGGGGATTTTAGGATTTGATGAATCCACCTGCCGCGGCTCGGGTTTTCAAACGGAACTTCAGGCGAAACTTTGCAATGATGTGAAGATTTTATCCAAGGATGCGCCGACATCACGGAGGATTCAGTTGAACACGCGTTTTAGCAATGTTTTTGAAAGCCCGACGAGCTGTGAACTTTATTTTGTGGATCTTTAACTTTGTAATTTATTGGACTTGGGTTGAAGCACAGGTAAGAAACTGTCTGTTAAATGCCTCTGTTTTTCTTGAGCTATGGTAAAACCCTGTTTATATCTAAACAGCTTCATGGAAAATAGTCTTTATATTAAAAAAAATACAGGCAATGAGTCATCGGAATAAATAGTCTTCCCTCACAGCTGCGCCTGTATGGAGCTCTGAAACTGTCAAAATAAAGAAGAACTGGCATTAAAAATAGATACACAGCTAAGACAGTGCAACAAAGAGATTAATTTAAACATTTGGAGTGACTTTATTCTGTAAAATAATATGGCGTACAAAATTTAAAGTTAAAAATGTTGACATAAATGATTCAACAACATTCCTACTTACTTTCTTAAATGTCAGTTTTTTAGTCATTATTCATTTGTTTTTCTTTAAAATATTTTTCACACAATGTTAATATTTTTTAAGTATTTTATTCAGTATCGTTTCACATTTGTCTTCCCCATTTTTTGTACTTCTGTGGTGGACTAAAACCACTAAAATCAAGAAAAAAGACAGAGGCACTAAAATCTACTGCAGAAGATATAATAAACTATTCAAATTGTATTATATATGAAATATGACATACATTTTTTTCCCTAATTATTTGACATTTGATTTTGTATCTTATTTATTACACGCATGCTTTTACATACATTTATTTATGGAATTTTTTCCCCAGTTATTTAAGCATTTTTTCCTTTTTTCAGCTTTTTGTTAACTGATAGATTTATGGCATATCCTTCATAGATGCCATATAAAAAACAACTGTTGGACTTCATTTTGACAGTCATTTTTAATGAGAACTTTGAGACACATCTGCTAATCTTTAAAGCGTCTTTTCACATTTTTACATAGTCTTCTACATTTAACAAAAGCAAAACCCACTACCTACATTCGGAATCACAATATTTTGCTGCTATTTGTAAATTAAGCAATTACCTCAGAAAATCCAGTTCCAACTCATCTTACATTGTGCAAATGTAGGCTGTATATGGTAAAGCAACATATTCCTGCTTTTCCAGCTAAATGTTAGCTGGAGCTCAACCTTAAAAGAGTCTGAAGCCAAGTGCTTCTCTGAGGTACAGAGATAGCAGACACTGTCAGGTTGATTTATTTGGACACTGGTAGCAATGAGCTCAACAGGAAAAAAAAAACTCTCAGGACATTTGATGAATGGAAATTAGGCAAAATGGTGACACATGATGACATGTGAATCACTGGATTTTCTGCTGTATTAGTCACTGCCAAGAGAGCTATTGGAGAGGTTCAAAGTGGTTCTTTTAATCTGCAAATGGGTTGTCACTGTTTTTGCATAGGCCTTTTTGTTCCAAATCCTTTCATAATGAATGAAAACAATGCTCCTAAATATTACAGCAACGTTACATCAGGGGATATTGTCACTAAACAAATGTCAAATTGGTTAATAACCGAATAAAGGTCAAAATCAATACATAGAAATATCCTGTAAATAAATAGAGGAGACTCAATTTTAATCCAATAAACTTTGGAAAAGAGCATAAATGTATAACTTTTGGTTTTGCTTAATGGCAGAGAAAGGAATCAGTAGGATAACTTTGTGATTCCTACATGAATCACATGAATATAAAACTTTATTTTATGTTTGACTTTTGACATATTTCAGATAAATGTACACAATATACACATGTACACTATGTTTGATCCAAATTCCACTTTTTTCTATTTTTCTACTTTTTAAATTTGTTGAAAAGGTATATGTGTCTTGATATTGAAATTTATTTCCTCTAAAGAAATGATTTCAAAAACTGACCAGTTTCTCCTTGTTTCACTCAAAATCCATAGAGTAAAATTGGTGTGCACACCTAAAAGCATAGTTGCACACCTCAAATTAGAGAAATGCACTATACCACAGGATATTTAAAAAAATATTCAAAATACATTTAAAACAAATAAAACTTGTGTTCAATTTAATATTTTGTCTCTAACTTTTATAATATATATTATATTCTTCAGCCATACATTGGAACAGATGTAGTATTTCTGTATATTGTATCAAGAGGAACGTGTTCATCAGAACAAGACTAGATTTTAACAAACATCCTAAGTTGGGTTTTGAGGGGAGTATTTCACAAGATAAAGTCTTTTGAGCTTTGAATCATGCTTTAATGTTAGACGTATCACTGAAAGACATGGAGAAGAGTTGTTGTGATGATGTCATGAAGGGGGAGTGTCAGAAATAGTAGGAGGTCCTTAAAGAGACAGAGACTAATTTTAAGTAGTCAGATATGGCTATGATATAAAATTAAATTTTCTTTAAGTTGTTTCTGATATGTGAAGGTAACGTTGTGTCTTGAATGTTTTGGATTCTAAATATATAATACTGAAATATATAATACTCTCTTTTAAATTGCCCACTGAAAACTGGGTATAGATATACTTACTAATAAAGAACGTTTGAGTGGTACTCAACAACAAAACTCAGTTATAAAACCCTGGTTGACGCCATTAATCACCTTTTGTATGTAGGTGGGGTTTGCACACTAGTTAAACAGTCAGGCCATATTGGCGGACATACAGTATTTCCCGTCTAACTGATTGTACATTATATATTTGTTTGTCTGCATAGATTAGAAAGTTTGCTTACCAGCAGATGATCTCTGGCATTCTATAATTATTTTTTGCTCATTTACGTTCTCAGTGATTGATTAATTAATATACTCGGATTTCTCAGGCAAATCATCTCTAACCTTGCCTCCGCCAGATAGAAAATATTCACAGCTTCATCACCCTGGTCTTCCTCGGTCTGATTCCTACAGGTTGAGCCCACAGATTTAAACACATGGAAATATTTTATGAAAAGAAATCAGAAAACAAAGCAAATAGCTGAATAATTAACTGAAACCAAAGAGAGAGAGAGAAATGTAGCACAAATTGGAAGGAAAAACAAAAGTCAGGGCTGTAAATAAGAAATGATCTACTCTACAGAAAAACATGTTGCAGTCACGCTGTGGGTCTGCTTTGCTGACGCTGCTCCTGTAGGCACTGAATGCATGAAAGGCTTGTTGAAATCAATGGATTATGGACAGCAGAAAAACAAAAAGGTTTAAGGGTTAAGATGCTTTCTGAATGGTTTTCTGAGGTGTGTCAGCGTCTTAATTAGATTTAAACTTCTGAATGTCACTTCCATTTTGCACCGTTTCCATTATGTGTCTTTTTAGAAGTGTATTGTTCAAACTTTAACTTTCCAGTTATTATGTTGTAACACCCAAAGCAGTCAGAGGAATGGTATGAATACTGTTACAGTTACTGTTATAGTTTTCATACCCCTGAAACTCAAACATGTTTCTCCCCAATATAAACATAAACTTTACTGTATTTTGTTGGGAATTGATGTGACAGACCAACATAAAGTGGTGCAGAATTATGATGTGGAAATGAAATAATGTGTCTAAAAACTGTGGCATTTGACTAAATGCCTAAAAGCTGAGACTAAATTTAGCTAGAACAGGGCCAACCATCCATCTCGTGGATCTTTTGGTGAACATCTCAAAATTTCCGTCACACATTGTCCAGATTGCAGAGAACTCTGGGAGGAAAGCCAAACTGCATACCTCCTCTCAGATTCTGTGTTTCCTACCCGCATTTGGCAAATTCTTTACTTTCACCTCAAATACTTAAGTGAGAATTTGCGTTGTGTTGCCTCGCCTGCTTAAAGTCCATCTCTTGCTGTGTTTAAATTAATTTACAGTGTCCCTCTCCTCATCTTTGGGGAATTAACTTCCAGGATAAATTTTGTTTTTACAGGCAATTTAGGTTTTAAAACCAACTAGTTATTTCCCCAAATCTCCCTCAGAGGAACTTCATCCACATACAGCATGGCAGAGCTTTTTGCGCTTATGCTTTTCATCTCTGTTTGAAGCTGTCATGTTTTTTTTTCTTCAGGAAATGACTCCTGATGTGTTTTTGTTCCTTTTACTCCCCCCCCCCCCTCTACCTTTTTGGAGACCTTCCCAGCATGGCGGTGTAGAGCCATGGTGATAAAGCAGCAAATATTAGTTTGTGTTCAGATCTCTGGTACCTATCGGGAGCTTTTGTCGGTGGAACACCCCTTGAAAAGGAACTAAACTCCTGTGCAGTTTGTTTGGCTTTCTGAAGTTGGCTTGTAGGATGCAGGTTTATAGTTGAAGATAACTGCAGCATGAAAATAATTATTAGATGGAAAGAAAGAGCCTTTTGGAAGCTGTTAATATATAAATAATACCTACACCTTGCAAGTTGCACATATTGGAGATGTTTATGCCACTTGATGCTTTTAAGCTCATTTAAGAATGATCTATAGTGCAGCGTATTCTGGGGATAAACAACAACCAAAACAAATGCGCTAGTGGGAGAAAAGGCTTGAGGTCAAAAGAGATCAATGGATTACGCACAAAGAGAAATTCTACAACCACTAAAATTTGATGCCACTTCACTTTTATTTTCATTTGGTGAAGAAGCAAGTTGTGCTCGTGTGACGTTTCTGTCAGTAGTTCTTGGTACAGCGCCACCACAGGTAAGGAGGGGAACCGATTATTTAAAGGTTTTTGAATCGCTTGACACAATGGTAAATGGGCTGAACTTATATAGCGCTTTTCCAATCATTTTGACCACTCAAAGCGCTTTACACTAGAGTCACATTCACCCATTCGCACTCACACATTTATACACCGATACTCAGATCGGTAGGCAATTTGGGGTTAAGTGCCTTGCCCAGGGGCACATTGACATGTGGCAGGAGGAAGCTGGCATTGAACCTACAACCTTCTGATCACAAGACAACTACTCTACCCACAGAGCCACAGTATGCAAATGAACCACACCAGCTGAAAAGCTAGCAAATGTTTCAATTTTGGTCCCTCCCCAAAGCTTTAAAGTAGTTTGAAATATTTAATTACACAAGTTTCAAGTGTTTTGATCAAGATAATTAAATAGTTTATGAGCATTGAGTTTGATGAATAGTTAATATTAACATGCTTTGAACTGCATCAGTAGGCCAAGCCTTAGAAACTGTTCAAGATTAATTGATCTTCTGAGGTTTAAACAAACATAGCTTACGTCTGCATGGCAGTCATGTCTTAGGAGACCCTCCTGCTACATGGCAAACACCAAGAACAATAATGAGACCAAAGGGAGTGATGGCCTTAGCTTTGCCACATTTGCTGCTTCTAATTTCAGAAATCATTGAACCATTAATTGTGCTTTAGTTAAACATTACAGACAACTTTCTGTTATTATAGGAAATTACTGAAGAGTAATCGAAAGAACTGAGAAACGGTGACGCTTCATTCCAGGTCCTAAGCATCGTAGCAATAGTGCAGGAAACTATCAGAAGCATTAAGGCATGCTTGATCTACTTCATTTTCCACGGGTCTGTAATCTTGATTTAGCCCAGTTGTAATGTGACTTTCCAAGACATCCTGACAGGTGCTGAGAGCGGATGGATCAATAACGGCTTTCTTAAGATGTGCGGTATAAAGCTGAAAACCTACACAGAAGAAAATTAGGACAGTTTAAACAATTAACATGCCTCTGTATTACTGCAGAATGTCAAGATTTCGATAAGATAAAACTTCCTCATCTGTTCATGAGCTGGGATTCTTTTAAACACAGGTCTTGTACAAAGAGAAAGACTTGAGAAAGACACTACATAGACATGATTTCCAGGATTTTATCAGTGAAGTAGTCTTCACTTCTAGGGTTTAAACAGCTAAATGACATGGGTTTTACTTCAAGTGTGCAAATATCCATCCATATATCCAGAGTATTATGTAATTTCTACATGAAAAAGGTGTAAGAATCATGAACATGACATTTTTCTTCCCCTTATTGGAAGTCAGGTTGCAGGTGTAAGAGCTCAAAGCAAAGGTTTATGTATCCCTCTCCCCACTTACACTCTCCAGCTCATCATGGGTTATCCTAAGGTGTTCTCAGGGTCCCGCTGAGACTCCTCAAAGGGGGTTGTGACGGGGAAACAGCAGGTGTCCAGAAGGCATCCTTAACAGAACCATCTCAATTAACTCCCCCAATCTGTACCGCATCTTCTGGGTGATGGAGTTCCTCACCTTTTCTCCAAGGCAAAGATGTTTCTGTCTGTTGAGACATTCTGAGTTTAATTTGCTGCTGTGCTAAGATCATTGTTTTTTTTTAAGCACAAAATCATTCTTAGATAAGGAGATCTGGTCAGTTCTACTTTCATAATGAGCAGATGTGACCACATGTGCTGGAACTCTGTTTGGGTTGCTAGGTTTCCTGGGGTTGCTAGGTAACGGCGCAGTGCCTGCTGATCTGTGATCAGCATTCGGAAAGATTTTGGAATAGGTCAAACATTAACTTACTGGAAAAAACCGGCTAGGTGTTCTTTTTTTTTGTTCTTTTATTGTTAAGCGCTAGTGTTGTCAAAATTAAAGAGCTTCATAATGCGTCACATGTTCAAAAAGACAGTCTTTGGTAGTTGAAGATCACTTAAAAATGTACATTAAGGACTTCAAGAGGTTCTCAGTGAAGGATTGTAACCTCTGCAGCAGATAAATCATTCAGTTTTGTACCAAGTGAAATTACTGGAAAGACTGAGATGACACTTTGGGGCTGACATTTATGGTCCCTGGCAGGGAATATTAAGCCCTGGCATGCATCCTGTTTTTGAAAATTAGCCGTCAGTTTGACATTTTGGTGTCACAACTAAAATAAACCTCTCAATTCCACATAAAAGTCAAGACAGTGGTTTTTGTCAGGACAGACTACTTTATCTTTTATTATCATTTTCAATATGGAACGATGCTAATTTGGTGTGAATATCTTATTAACATCAACATCTGCTGCAGCCACATAGACACAATCAATAGAAAGATCATTTCACCTTAAAAAGCTTTCTACCTGTTTTGGATCAGTTGTTAGTGACCTCTATCCTCATCAGCACCCCTGGAAAAGATGCATGTACATTTTTATGATCTCAACTGCAAAATCCTTGTCTTTGAATTCCCCGTTGAATCCAAACTGGTTCTCTGGCTTTCCATCGGGCACCTTGTATTTCCTGAAGTGTTTTAACTTATCCATTAAGTTCATATATTAATGCTCATGCACTGCAGCAATACTCGTACTGAAAAAGACAACATTTAGCTTTCACTGCTGGCATACAATAGAGATAGTGGACTCCATTACATCCTATAGAACTGTAGTGCAGTTCTATACTTAATGCTGTCATGCTTCTATATAATTTATCAGAAATACAATTTAGTGTTGGCAATATTTTATAGTTATTTTCACTACTTGATGTTTTCCTACCCACTTGCTTGATTTAAAAAACAGTTTGCTGGTTGAAAATAGTGATGGAAAGTAAATAGTAAAAGATACATTATTTTAGCAGATCAGTGTCAAGGAGTTTTAGCGTCTCTGCAATCATTAAGCTTGAATAATTCATCTGGCATTGCATGCAATGCAATAAATTCAGCCACGCAAACAATTGTGAGAAACTGTTACTCATTTCTGACAGCAGAATATGGATGTGCATACTGTAGGTCACAGTGGTAGATTTATTCTTTTGTAATAAACGCTTGTTCTGAATACTAAGCAGCAATATTACTGCATAAAGTAGCTAAATTATAACATTTTATAGAACTGGACATGTTCTCAGAGGTAAAGATCACGATTTTTAAAATGAGAACTGTACTACTTTCTGATCTCTGTGCTCTTTTCTCAGTTTACAACATCTGCCCAAAGCAGATGCTGGATGTCCAGTTGTCCCAAATGTTATTAAAATGTTATGCAATGCTTCCAGTTTATTTACATATTATATTGACATGGGGTCAGAGAGCTGATCTTTCCGTTTGTGCTTTACAGATGGGGTTCGACAGTCCTCTGTCTGCACAGGAGCAGATGTTCATCCTGTATGAAGTCAAAATGCGGTGCTATCAGAACCTGTCCAGTATGGAACCAACAACCACAGGTACAAACACCAATCCATAAGTCTGCACAGTTTTAATCATCTGGACTCATTCTAACAACATTTGTATGAAGTGAATTTCTATAAATGAATTCATGAATCAGTCAGTTTACCTTTCAGGCTCTCTATTTGCCTGAACATAATCAAACTTTTATTCTTTTTTGAATTTTATTTTAGACTTTCTTGAGGTTTATTTATTATTTTTATGGGCTTTAGACTTTTCATTATTATTCATGTTCTTCCTTATTTTGTTGGTCTTACAGGTTCAGCTGGTCAGCAGTAGGAAAATAAATGTCACTTCTGAATTGGTTGCTTTGCAAAAGAAAGCCAATAGCATGTCAAGTATATTTTTGTCTTCAGTTTTTCAGCTACACAAGCTGCATTTTTTCTGTAGAATATTTCAACTATGCTGAGATTGAAGCATTACTTTCATATTTTCTCTATTTAGCATCATCCATTTATTCCCTCAGTTGTGGCCACTTTCCCAGCTCTTGTTCAGCTTTCTCCACAACAGGATGCTGCGACAATAGCGATTCACAGCGGGTTTAATGGGTCTGTGCAAAATGTGGCTTTTATTGTGCTGGACACAAGCTCATCTAATCATCATTCATTTAATTTAGCATCCTGTCTATTTATCCGAAAAAATGGCTCCAATCAGAGCTGTAATTTTATTTTAATTAAGCCTGTCGCTGTGAACAAAATTTTATTGTTTTAATTGTTACCTGAGCTTGATTTTTTTTAACAAGCCACAAAAAATATGGAAATCCTCAAGTCTTTATATTTTTCTAACTGGATAAAAAGAACTTAAATTACCCAGGAAAACATTCCAGGCTGATAAGTGGATATGGATCAGTGGATGTTTTTTTTCAATAATTTCATTAATGACCAGATAGATAAAAGTGTGACTTCTGTCTTCTCGCTGCAGATGAGGTGTGCCCTCCAGACTGGGACGGTCTTATTTGTTGGCCTCATGGCTCACCTGGGCAGATTATGAAGGTTCCCTGCCCAGCTTACATCTATGACTTCAATCACAAAGGTTAACAATCTTTCTCTTCTGTACCATCACCAGCAATGAATGTGAAACGCTGAAGGCAATGAGAAATTCAGAACCCTCTCTTTGCTGATATTCGGTAATGAAACCACTTTTAAGCCCGACACTTTGTGCTACAGTACCTCCTGAAATCTAAAAAGCAAATTTTGAAAAGATCCAGGGGTCTTGGATAAGATGAATGTTTTGTTCTTTTTGTTATTTAATGGATTTATCTACAAAGGGAAAGAAAACACTTAGCACAAAATTGCATTAAACCTAAAAAATTGGATTCCATAAAAGTCTTTTGAAGACATTTATGCAGCTTTTCTGTCATGCTGTGTGTGACAAAACATAGTGCTGGAATGACAAAAAAAAATCCACTATTTAATTAGACAATAAACTACAATAAAGTGAAAAAGTATGCTCTCCCATTAAGATTTATCCTTCTTTGGCTGATTGTCACACTTAGATGTTTCAGATCATTAAAATAATATTAGATAAATATACCTTCGACAAACACAAGAAAGGATCTTTTTAAAACACATTTTCCGATATAAAGGAGAAAATTGTATCCATAACAGTGAAGAAATAGTGAGAAAAAACCCCTATAAGGGTTTAATTTTTCATCATAGCACAAACAAATATGCTGCATAATTTCATATTAACCAACTCTGAATCTGCATCTGCACTAGGGGAGGAGTTATTGTGTAAAATTGACTTTTTAAGCTTTATATCATCAAAACATCTTAATGTGTTGCTTTATTTCCTTGATTAATGATTAAAAATCTTGGAATCTCTCGTGGCAGTGAGTCAGGGCTTGCTACTCAGCTCCTCCAGACTAGCGGCAGCAGCAATTAGTAAACACCTGGTGGAACTGAGTCTGCTGAGCTCATTCAGACTATTTCTCAGTCAAACATTCCTAAGAATGGCTGCAAGCTACATTAAGGCAGAGCAGTGTTGTGATGACATGTCAAAACCGGAGAAAGAGCAGAAGCTTCTTAAAGAGACAGAGGCCATAATTCTCTTCAGTCATGTTTGATGTATATGCAGCATTTTTATATCAACTGAAGGTAACGTTGTTACTTCATTGTGCAATAAGCATGGTAAAATAGCACAGTTGGTGTTATTTGTGTTAAGGTCTGTGTTATTTGTGCATTGAAAGGTCTTCTACAGTTCCTTTGCTGAATCATAGCAAACTTTTTTGTTTTTCACCCACGCAGCTGAAGTTTTGTAGTTGCGCTTGAAATAAATGTTCAGTTGCATGGACTCAGTTTGGTCAAGCTTTGGCTGCCAGGCATATAAGAATCTAGAGGGTTTTAGAGGTGTTTATTATCTACCTGGCATCATTTGCACCTTAGCAATGTGAAAAGACTTCCTAATGAAGCTTCTAATGTTCTCCTTTTGTAATTTATAGAGATCTAACAGAGGCACGTTACAAATCTGGGAAATATTTGCTGTGCAGTGCCTTGATTCCCCCAATTTTCTTCTTTATCTCCACACACTAATCCAGTTCTTCATACTGGGCATGCATGTGGTGACAATGGAGAGGAAAACCTCCCGTTTAACAGCAGGAAACCTCCAGCAGAACTGGACTAAATGTGAATCACCATCTAGGTAGACAGACCACACAAACAAAAAAGAAACAGAAGCACTGGTGTAGAAGTACCTTTCATGTTTAAGAAAAAGCAAAGGCTAAATGGCAGTAGTAACTTCTTTAGTAGTTTCAATTAGGTGAGAAGCACAGCTAAACAAAAATGGGATGAAAGAGAGCATTTATAGTTAGCCTCATCAGCTCAGCTGGTGGCTTTTAAACACTGACTGACAATAAATGATAGAATAAGTAGAAAAGCAGATAAAAGCAAACAAAAATATATTTTTTAATAATTTTATGTACTTATTCATACATGGATTTTTCATTCTGTACATCAGATTTTGTTACTTTTAAAGCAGTTGTCCCCAAATGCCAAAAATGTTTGAATTGAAGATGAGTAGGCAATCTGTATGTTGCAAATATTCTCTGGGAATGCACTGACTCGAGTCCACGTTTGCAGGACACGCTTACAGGAGGTGTGATGTCAACGGTTCCTGGGTCTTTGTGGAGCAATGGAACAAAACGTGGACCAATTATTCAGAGTGTCTACGGTTCCTTCAGCCCCTCAGCGATGAGGAAGCAAGAGCAAGTATTAATGTGGAACATAACAAGAATTTTTGTTAATATTGTCATTCAGAGAGCCTGGTGATTGCTCAACCCTTCAACAAAGGCTGCACCAGTGTTCACAGTTCATATGTAAAGCCTCAGTTCTCTTTTTTTCCCTTTCATTGCATGTTAGAAGAAAAGCAAACCTGTATAAATGCACTCTTTCTTCTCTGTGATGAAGTACCAAGTACCAAAGAAACAAACAAACTGTTCACAAAAGCATCGTAGCAAGGAACATTCAAATATGAAAGCTATGACCTAATCAAAAACTGATGAGGCAAAAGGAATAATCACAAAGACAGTCAGCTCCTTCACTCCAGTAAACAGGCATCATAGCTTGTTTATTCATCAAACCTTGATGATATGTGATGAACTACGACAAGGCTTTCTGGGAAATCTGAATTACAGCTTGGATGGGGGGATATTTTGGTCAGCTTTGCTGCTTAAAATGCAGTAAATAACTCTCTACCATTATTATGCACTTTATAAAACTTAGATTTGAAATAAACAGTTGACTATGTGAGTGGAATTCAATGTATTTATACAGAAATGGGAATGCGTCTTATATGTTATCTTTCTTTCTATGATAAATAAAAATAATATAACAGGGAAACCGATACGAGAACATTATATTGTTGCCAGCAGCAGCTCAGATGAAAAGTTTCATAGTTAAACTGAATGGCATCAAATATATTGCTTCAATGAAGAGTAAAAAAACTGAGAACATCAAGTTAAAAATTGGAAAAAAAGAGTAAATAATGGAAACCCCAGTGAGTAGAAGAAGAACGTAGCTGATTGAGTATTTTTCAATTGTAGTGACTAAAAAATGAATTTAGATTTCTGAGTCTCAGCTCAGTTATCAGTAAAATAATCTAATTTTTATTTTTTATTTTACAAATTTAATTTTTATCAGGTAGAAAACTCTTAACCTCCATTGATTTGATTGAAAAGCAAGTTATTTTGTTGTTTAAACTTTATTTCCTTACGTTTTTTAATGTATTAAGCAAAAAAATACATTTCTAATTATTTATTTTATTATTGTGATGTAAACAATGAAATAAAGGCATTAAGATTAGCTGAACAGACACAGAAACAAAATTAAATATGTTGATGTGCTTCATAAATGAGAAAGAAAGAGAAAAAGAAAGAAGGAAGAAAAGAAAGAAAGAGAGAAGGAAGAAAAAGCATGACACAATAAGGAGAAAAAAAAATTTGATTTTCACTTTGTGTTTTTGATTCTTTCTAAACATGCTCATATTTTCTTGTGTTTGCCCATTAACAGAAAGGCTTTAACTGATAGAAGAGGAGCAGAATAATAACATTAGGATGAATAGAGAAGTCTGCTGAATTTATGGCGTTTTCTTTATAACTTTGTAATTTTTCTGTTTTTATTATGTGAAGCACCTTGAACCGCCTTGCTGCTCAAATGTGCCACACAAATAAACATTGATTTGATTTAGATTTTTGATAAAAAAGGACGCAACCAACATATTTCCTTCCTGTAACGGTTAAATTAAACAAAGACAATCACAACAAAATACCTCCATTTTTATACCAGCTGTGTTCAACATTAACTTTCTGACTTCTAAGTTGTGTTTCAATGTTTTCACACTCAGTTTGACGTGTAAAGCAAAATACATTTCTAACATAATAGAGCTAGTAAAAATAAAAGGTTCTACATCCTTTGTGGACATGTACGCTTTTATGTAGTTGTTATGCTTTGTGACTCAGTGAGACATTTTAAGGCTTTGTGCCTTAAATGTCATCATCAGATGGTGTGACTGAAGGTCCACGGCACTCTCATCCATTTGGTTTTAACGCCACGCTTCACTGCTGATTTGGTACTTGAACTTCAAATCACTTTTTTTTTTCTCGACTTATGAACGCTCAGTTTCACTGCTTCTCTTAAACTGAAACAGTGCCACTTTAATTTTGACTGCCATTTATTTATTTGCTGAAAATTTAGATTCTGTGGATAAAATGAAAAACAGATAAAGCAGAAATGCTTTTGGAAGATCATGTTTTCCACCTTTTTATATTCAGTAAGCTGCACCAGCAACCCATGGTGTATGGAGAATATAATCTGCTATAAATAAACATCTTTAGGGAAAGAGATGGAGACTCCTTTTGACTTTATCACCAACATCTTTCAGGCTATTTTCCTCTGACCATTGGTTGGAAAAACAGGCTATTTCAGTTTTCAGACCATTTTTAGGCTTATTTGGACATTTTTATTTTACTGTGCTTGTGTAAGACTTGTTAAAGACTGTCTAGACGGTCCTGTGAGACATGCTTGTGTGTTTTCTATAGCAGAGAACTAAACGGCATTTTTTTTTTCTCCCTGCATGTTCACAGCGAGACTTCTTTGAGCGGCTGTATGTCATGTACACCACCGGCTACGCTGTGTCCTTCAGCTCTCTGCTAGTGGCCATCATGATCATTGGATACTTCCGGTAAGAAGAGATACTTCCTGTATTCTTATAAACTGGTTAATGACTAGTTAAAATGATCACAAACTAATTTGTTGCACATTTTATAGAACTACAAATACTTGGCAACAAGTGACAGTTTGAGGTCTTTTGAAACAATTGCATCATTTAATCCTCGACAGCCCTTCGGTTCCACAAGTTATCCAACGGTTTTGAAAAGTTTTTTGACAACGGTGACAGAAAAAAAAAAGGGGTATGCGTTTGCTCACAAGTCTTATATGTCTGAACCAGCTGGTGGAAATAAAAGCAGGTGAAAAATAATAATAAACTGACTGACATTTTAAACCCTTGGGGATTCAAAACTGACAGTTTTTGTGTTTTCATCGTATGAGTCACTCACTCTCAGCACAAAAAATGGACTGTAGTTTGTTATTTTAACAATTTTTGAGAAGACCTCTTCTATAAAAGGTAATAGGTTACCCAAAGGGAAGCACTTCAGCAATGCTCCCCAGGTGGCAAGGGGTGGTTTGATCGTTAATATTATGCCTCTACTCAGTTATTCTGCACACATTTTTCACAATGTAGACATTCAGCAGCTTCACCCAAGCGCTTGATATGAAAAGCCACAGCGTCTTCAAAAGGGAACAGCACAAATCAAGGAGCTCTCCAAACAAACTCAAGGACAAAACTGTGAAGAAGTGCAGCTTTATGTTTGCTCGTAAACATGAAGAAAATGAGAAAAGCCTTCAGGGCCCATTAACTCTGTCTTTTGGGAAATAAAAGAAAGTCCAAATGAAAGTCCACAAATGAACAGAGAAAACAAAAATATATCACTGAAAATGAATTGCGAGAAGAAAAAAGTCATTCTTACACTTCAAGAAAACAAAACAATGTAAGTCTGAATGGTCAGATTAGACAATTTAGTCTGTTGGTCAATCAGAATAAGATATTTCAAGACATTTACTAAAAAATAGTTTAAAGATAGAGCCGTCATTTCAGTGATGAGGCAGGAAACTGTGAGATCCCACTGGATGTTTGTAGGAGCTTTAAATGTCAAAACCCAATGGATTATAGAACAGATGAGTGATATTTGTTTTCTGTTACATCACTTCCAAAAGCAGTGTTTGCACTCAACCCTGTGTTGGTCTTCAAATAGCTGCTGCTGTGCATTGTGGGATACGTAGTGTGGTTGTCATCCACAATACATAACCAGCTGGCAGGCATTTAATGATGGATATATTTATATTTCCAGTCAAAGTAAATATGTTGGTAAAAATAAGAGTTGCTTAAACCTAAATCTGTCATGTGTATGAATAATTTTAATCACAAACCCAGACATGTCTTAAAACCTTGTAATTAATACCTAATAGATTCCTGTACATTGTTAAAATAATCTACTTTCATTTGTTTAATATTGTGAAATTGTTTTAAGGAATTTTCTCATTTAGACTGTAGAATATGTGTATTTGCAGATTTAAAAAAAAAAAAACAATCATAGCACTCTAGAAATGTTTGCACGTTTCACGTAAAGGTTTTATGCTGAACCTTCAATCTTTAAAGCTTCAATATAAAATTTTAACCAAAAATCCTATGAGTGCTTCTAACTACTTCTCAAACCTTGGACATATACTAGAGCCAAGAAACCATGTTTGAATCAAGAGATTTAGATGTAAAAATGCCAGAAATAAAAAAACAAGACCAAATCGACACTTTTTAATTCTTCACTTTGAGTCACATCTGTTTGTTGAACTCCAAGAAAATATGAGCCTGAAAATATTGTCACAAAATGTGTCTAACACAACAAATTCTGGTTACTAATTTATTTTTATTAACATTCTAATGTGAAAAATCCTTGAAAAACTTCTACATCAACTTTTGATTTCCTATCACACATTTTATTGTCATTCACACAAACATTCATAAAGTCGTTCGAATAATTTCCTGCTGAAAACTCATCATAAAACAACCATGACCTTACAAGGTATGGAAAAGGCCTTCTGAATCTTTTCACATTGTACGAGTTTATAACTACAAACTGTAACATGCATTTTATTGGGACTCTTTGTGACTGACAAAAGAATCCCAAACACAACGGTGCATAATTGCGAAAAAAAAGAGAAAAATTATACAAGTACAAATCAGTACAAACACTAGACTTCAGTCAAACCTGATTATTAAACTGAGTTGGCTTGTTAGCTTTTCTCTGAAGTTTGGTTATTTTTTTTAAAAAAGGAATCGTAAAAACCAATAAACAGAGCAAGAAGGTGGGGGAAGAACGTTATGGAGAGTTTAGAGCAGAGTTAGGTTTAGAAACAATATCCCAAGTTGTACATTTTTCAATTCCTCTTCCTTATTAGAACAGTTTGACACAGCAGCAAAAATAAATGTTTATCCACCTAAACTGACGGGCCAGATAAGCAGAGCCGTAAACAGAGAAGCAGAAAAGAGACTTTTGGTAACTCTGAAGTTTGAGACTCTGTTGTCAAGACAACCATCAGCACACCAAAAATCTGTCCTTTACGAAATAATCAAATATTTTATGCCGTCAGTTTGGCATAAAATGATCAAGACTACAACAAATATAAAGTACTAACACAGTACTTTATACTACTATAGCATAAAGTACAGATTTTTCCGCTTATAACAAGACATTTTTAATGTTTTAAAGTTAAAAAAAAAATCTGTCAGCAGAACTTCTACTTTTTAAAAATTTCCGAGAATTATTCACTTATAACAAACTTATTTACCTTGATAAAATGTTACTTTTAAGTTATTTTGTCATATTTTAAGTTTGCTAAGGTATTTGCACTAACTAGACAGAAACTAGACAAAAAATACTTGATAATATTATTTTACAGCGAACTTGTGAATTCTCATTTATGTTTCTCAAAAAAAAAAGTAATTTATAACAATACCTTTTCCAGATAACTTTAGATGCTTTTGGAAATGTATAATGAAAGCTTATCTTATCTTGGCAGATAAGATTTATCTATAAAAACTTGGACTGTTCTAAAAAAATCTTCTTTCAAGTTCTTGATGTGTCTATTAAAATAAAAAAACAACTAATGTCAGAACGTTTAAATGCACAAACAATATGAAATAAAGTACAAGAGCTTTCAAACTATGATGTAATATTTTTTATGATGAGATTTTATTCAAACACATTCAAAGATTTTAACCATTGTATTCTTTCTTTTGCCTTTTTTAGAGTAGGTGATATTCATCCTTACAATAAACTCTCCTGATTTGAATGGCAGCATCTTTGCGACTGGTCTTTGAGTTTGTATCAGAAACTTCAGTCAAAAACATGCACACCTCAAAACAGGAATAAAGGAAGGTGATCAGACGTGCATTTCTGATAAAGACCACAGAGCATAAATTCTGCATGAGTTGCTGCTGCGTTTTCAAAGGGCCGTCAAGCCGCCTTTTGACAGAGGTCTCACATCTGCCGTGTTTGACTCAACAAAGCAACGTGTAAATCTTTGATCTTTACAAACCTCTTACAGTATTCATTGCTGTTTGCCAGTTTCCTGTTGTAGTGTGAATATTCCCTCGTCGCCAATGCAAAGCTTTACTTCAATTGCAGCACGGTATCCTGTGCAAGCTTTAAGTACTCGACAGCATAGTTTTGTCATTATTGGATAGATGTCGGCATTATAATTTCAGAAATAGATGATGACTTTTTTTTACCTATAGGTCAAAATGATGGACAACCAAAACATCTAGCCTCACCTCTGCTTTTACTGCACTGCTGAGTCAAGTTGTAGTCCGTGACTGATATGGAGATTAAGAAGTCACATTTAATGTCATACATAATCACAAAGGATCGAGCAAAGCAGTTCTCCATGAAGGCAGAAGGAAATAATTTTACACACTTTGCATTAATATACTTGAACAGCAAAAGAAATCTACAATTGATTTTTTTTATTCTTTACATATGTTTTGGAAGGGGTTTATTGACTTTTTTTTTTTTTTTTGCAAAATTCTTTGCAAATATTTCTAAAGCAGAGCCACATAACTGTGAAATCCTGGAGGGACTGAATGAGATTTTTTAAGAATAATCCTGATTTTCAGGACTATTTTCAGCTCTCCTCCCAGTCCTAGCATCTCTGCCACTATAGAAATGCTCTTGGTGTGTGTATCAGTGAAGGAAGATCCCCTTCTACTGGCAGAGCATGAATGCATGAAGCACACATTTTGCATTCAACCAGGCCTTATTCACAACCTGCAGATGTACTGGGATTTTCATGCACAAGTACTTCTCATGTTTACTGGAAATGGCCAGTAAAAGAGAAAAAAAATACAGTGAGCTGTGAAAATCACACCATTTGACATTCATGTCTGTAAAGAGCAGGAAAAAGAGTTTAGAATTTGAACAGTGTCACAGAAATTGGACATTAAACACATTAAAGAAATGTTCCTGGTCTGAAGCGGTATGATTTTAGGGTCTGAATTTGGTATAAACAACTTGAAAACATGGACTCATGCTGCCTATTATCAAGGGTTCAGGCTGGTAGTGGTAGTGTAATTGTATGGCGGGTGCTGTTGTGGCATTTCTTTTGGATTCCTTAGTGTAACCCAGATACTTCCAACAGGATAATTTACCACTTCAAAAACCTTATATCATGTCAGAGTAGTTTCTAAAACATGGCAGCAAGTTTACTGTACTGAAAAGGTCTCCATGGTTGCCAAATCTCATCTGCCCACATATCCTTATAGACTGAAAACATCTTACATTTATGTATCTAAACATAAGACCTTAAAAAGTTTTAAATTCATTGAGAAATAATAATAAGATTGCTAGCTGGCTTAATCACAACTCCTAAATTTATTTATTCTCACTTAATATTTTCTATGTGGTTTAAGTTTTTGCATTGACTCAAATCTTTGAGTCATGCGCAGACATCTTCACTGCGTTCTGTGACTCGAGGTGTTTGCGGCTGTCGTAGCTGCTGCTAGCTAGTTTATTAGCAAGAGCAAAGCTAGCTCGCACTTTTACATCCATGTTGGCTGTGTGCAAATGTATTGCCAGTTGGCTGGACAATGTCCGTATTTGTCATTGGCACACTTTTGTTGCAAACCCATACAATTTATTTATTAGGTCTTAAATTCCACTTATGGTAAAAAGGTCTTAAAAAGTTGTAAATTTGAGTTGGTGAGACATGCAAGAAACAGGAAGAATTAAGGCAGATGTGCCTCATAAAGTGGTGAGTTCATGTTGAGTCTTCATTAATAATTCAGACTATGATGGATTGGAAAAAGGCCACATCCTATTCTCTTTCTAAAGATTAAGTGCATCAGTTTGTTGCGTAGCTATTTCACCCTGAAAAATAATGTTTCCAATTAATCTTTAAAAGCTCAAAATTCAAACGACAGTCATGCCTATGATGGATTTATGTGAGCCTCTGATTGCAGCTGTATACTGTTGAATAGTAATTAGGCCATCGTTGCTAATTAAGGACTGCAATCAGGTTTTAGTCATTTTTTTTATGTGAAAGCCTTCATTGTAAACATTGTCATCTTCAGCCCTCAAAATGATGAGTGGGCCACTCATTGAATCGGAGTTGACTCTGCTCTTTTATGCTAATTCAGAGCAGCATGAGCAATACAGGAGCTGGTTAGAACGATAAACCTGTCGGTGCCTGATACTTCACTTCTGCAGTCACTGAGAGCAACAAAGCAGCCTTTAAATCTGAAGTGTGTGGAGTTTCTCTGTTGGCTCCTATTGTATAAATACTGCAAGAGCAACCATGTGTCAAAGCTGAGTCCCATATGTACAATAAGTTGGCTTACGGTGTCCCTGACAATTTCTTCCTCCCTAGTTTATCTTGCAATTTTTTGCTTTGAAAAACTGAGTTACATCCTTGGGCTGCAGCTCTCGTCAAGGTAGTGCTGGATTACTGAAAAGCTTTTTACTGTATGAAGGGAGCTGATCTGATGTTCAGCAACTACTTATGTTGAAGCCAAGGTGGACCTTATATGAGAGACCCTTTAGACTGTATTTGACAAAAGAAACTGCATATATTCCTTTTTTTTACCACTTGTTAATACAGAGTAAAGAAAATAATTTCTAAATATCTGATAAATGTCATGGCTTTTAGTTGGAGTTCTGGGTCATACAACTGTATAGAAAGCCAGATAAAGCATTTACGTTGCTTTTGTATAATGTTCCTGGTTTTTCAGCCCTCCATACTTATAATGGAGATCTGAAATTAGTTATTTGTTTTTCCATAATGATTAACTGTAACTCCTCTGATCCTGGCAGGCGCCTTCACTGCACCAGAAACTACATCCATATGCACTTGTTCGTTTCCTTCATGTTGCGGGCTGTCAGCATTTTTGTGAAGGACAAAGTTGTCTATTCGAGTGCCGGATTGCAAGACTTTGACTCGGCCCTGCTGGATAACCTGAAAACAGTGAGCATTTCATCACTCGACAAGTCCCAGTATGTAAGTATCAAGTCGTCTTCTTGAACGTTTTCTTGTAAAATTTGTTTTAAAATTGCTAAAACATTCATCTCCTTGTCATGGCTCTCTTGTAATGAGAGACCAGGTAAAAGGCCAGTGTCTGTATTTTCTGTAGCAGCACAGAAAAACAGATTCTGAACTTGACCTCATTTTAAAAAGAAAAAGCAGATTTGGCAGTTGTGGCAAAGAAAGTAAGAGCGCTCGAGCTGCACATTCTGGTTTATAATTACAGTTGTCAAGCTATTCTTAGCATGTCTGTCAAATTACTAATTAGAGTTTGTTAAACTCATGATACTTTATCAGGAACAAGAAATCAGAAAGTATAATATTCTGTGCTAATCACATTTGCATGAATATTTATGTTAACAAAATGTATCTATTTTTTATTACTTTGTTCAGTTTAGAAGTGTAGATTTCTCTAACATTTATCTGAATTTCTGTTTAAAATGCACAAATGTTTTGGGTTTCCTTTCATTAGCTTATTAAAATCAGAATCATGAAGCATAGATATATAAACTTTAGAGGAAATAAAATAAGAATAAAGGAACATCCATGCTGTTAAGCAAAGACCTTAAAGATTTGCAACATGTGGAGACAAGGATAAATATAACTGCATATATTCTGGGTACTAATGAAAGCTAAAGTGTTTCTTTGTTTGTTCTGACAGCAGGAGCATCTCACACATTTAAGTGAGCACAAACTCAGATTCCAGCATGCTGGCCCTGTTTCTGTTAACATATTAAAAGAAAAGGGCGATAGAGAGAATAAATGCATAACAGGATCAAAGAGAAGTTTGCAAAATTGGTCCAACCATTCATCTATCTAATGTTGTTTTCCACCTGTTCAAATGTTGTTTAATCATTTACAATCTGCACACAGGAGTAAGTTTAATTTTTACCAAAGCTAAGTGTAATTATTGACTTCATCTGGTAATCTGCAATTTAAATGCAATCACTTTAAAACATTGAAACATAAAAGCTGCTTAATTTAATGGTTTTGATTATAAAGTGTGATTCATGGATGCAAATAAAATTATATTTTGATTTTATTCAAAAAGAAGTTAATTGGATAATTCTCACTTTTTTTAATGGGCCACAAGTGTGACGACAGGGTCGTTGTAAGTCAAAGCAAGAAAGTTATATTTTAATTTTAAAAAACTTGTGAAAAGTATTGATTTATGTTATGCAATCTCGGATCTACAACATGCTGAGAAAAATGAGTGGTTGTTTGCCATTTTTCATTGTTGCAAATCTTTTCTCCACCGTCAACCCATGCATAAATATATTAAATCAATATCTTCAATGACAAATGGTGATATTGAACCACAGTGGATTTACAGAACAGTCTGGCTTTGGCATTTCTGAGTTTGTAGAAGCAGAATAAAAGTACACTTTACCGTTAAAAACCTTTTCCTCCATTGTATGCTATTGTACTTGATATTTGTATTTCACATGGAGTAAAATTCAATTTGTGACTCAAAAAATCTCTTCATCTTTATTAGATAAAGTTGACAACAGCCTATTTAAAAAACTGTGCACACTCAGCATTCTGCACAATGAAAGTAAATAAAAAGCAAACAAATTATAGCTTGGAGTTTTTTTTATTTGAATTTCTGATCTGCATTGATAAAAAAAAAAAGTTGAACCGAGACAGCTCAGATTATTTATTGAACTTTACTTTGTCACTATTGATTTAGAGCAACATATGCCTGAAGGTATGCTGCACTTCCATTATAAGACATGTTAGAAAAATAAAGATGCATTCTGAGGTGATGTATCTGCACTTCATGTATTTACATGGAAAGTCAATATTTGTAACCATCTGGCTCCAACTGTTATACATTATAGATAAGATGATGAAATATGTCATCTGGGGAAGCTCAGAGTGCAAACAGTGTTCAATAAAATGAATTAATTAAAGATTTTTCATCTGATCTCAATGCCTAATGGACTTTTCTCTGTGGAGGATATCAGAGCATGGATGGATGGATGGATGGATGGATGGATGGATGGATGCATGGATGGATGGATGGTGTTACTGTATGACAAATGCCTGTCATATAACTAGAAAACCATAATTGTGTCTACAAAGCTCTAAACATGATTTTTATAAACAAACTTGCGACATCCGGGTTTATGTAGAAGTAAACACTCCATATTTGTTGCTGATGCTTATTTGCTACAATAGCCTTACAAAATAATTACAGCTCATTTTTTATTTCGTCTTCATTTAAAGCACTGGTTACCAAACATTTTTGCAGACACACAGAGTTTAAAGTACTCACTAGTAGTAATAAAATCAGATTTTATCAAAATTGAAAGCACAAGATACACTTGGACACTCCTGATTTACAGACTTAAAGGAGCAGTATTATGTAAATTTGACATTTTTGAGCTTAACATCATGTATAATGTTATAATGTTTTTCCCTCATCAAAAACATATCTGGAGTGTTGAATTGATTCTTTCACGCATGCTTGAGAAATTCTTTAATCTCCATTGTCGACCATTCAGTTGTGAAAAACAAATGGCTGGACTTAGCCCCGCCTTCGAGGTGCAGCTCCACCTTGTGGCTGGAGTTTCCAAGCAGCTGAGATCAGTTTCAAAGTGTTAAATCATATATATATATATATATATATATATATATATATATAT